TTTATGTGCGTGTTTTGATATTAATACAAAAATTAATAGAACCTTATTTATTTCGCAGGAAGGTCTGAAATGTTTCCATTTGCTCCCTAAAACTGCCTAAAGCACAAGCCTCCTTGGGTGCCCTGAGCAATGCTGCTTGGCTTATGCCAAAAAGCTATGTATGCTAAAGCTATTAGAAACCTTGACATACTACATTTTTTTGTTACTGGTCCTTGCTTGTCTGTCATTACAGTATGGATTGTACAGATTCAACCGTGGTAGAATTTACTGGTGGAAAACCGATTGTTTAGCACAGCAAGTCAATGGAGTAGGCTATAAATTATATAAATTTAATTGAAATAAGCCTACTCTAGTTGCATCTTATCTTACCATAGTAAGTCACAACTAAAGTAGCCTCATCTGAATCAACTAAATGCATATAGGAGTCCACTCACCAAATCCCCACTAATTCAGCTGGCCTACTCCAGTGTAATTTACTACACAAAGCAACGGTATTTTGACTACTGTTTAAAAAGAGCTTTAAATGTAACAATCTTCTGATCCCTTCTAGCCCAGCAATGTCCAGTAAATATTTTTGAGTTAAAAACTGAAGCTAAAACACATAGAGGTTCTGTCCTATTTTATGTAAGGAAATAAAAATCGTTTTTGCTTCCTTTCTAGTCTATTATTGTCTATTCTGACTAGTAGTAGCTCTCCACCTCCTTTCGTACTTACTAATTGATATTTTGTTTTCACTTTTTTTAAAATTCGAGATTATGGGTTTTAACGGAGGACTTTCGGCATAAAAGCACATGTACTGCACCTTACCATTTGAACACAGAGCACCTTTCTGCAAAGAGGCAGATACAGTGTTTAGGAAGACTATGTGGCAACTGACAGAGGGAAAGCTCTCTAAGGTATTTCTGTTTAACTGGATTCCTCATTAGTGAGTGCACAGGACAATAAGGCAGCCTAAGCCAAGGGAACAACTTAAGATGGGAATGGCACGTATCTGATATTCTGATCTCACCACTAGCTAGGGCTGATTGTAGTCGAGCAACCAGACTACCAAAAGTTCCCTATCAGTGATTAAGAAGGATGGAAGAGAAAGCAGACAACTGACAACTGGGGTCTCAAAGAATAGCACAACTCAAGTAAAGTACACAGGGTCACTAGTTCTGCTTATAAGTGACAGCCTGAGTAGGTTAAAGAAACAAAAAGATTATTTTTAGATTTTGGATTGATCTTAGGGTAGGTTCACATAAGAATAGAGTCATCGCCTCTACTCCAACTGCTTACACTCCCATTAAAAAGCTACAGGGAGAAGAAGGGGCTGGGAATGCCTCTGAGCTTCTTCCATTTATGTTATCTTAGGATCCAAGCCTTTAAACACCGAAGCTCTGCACCCTGAATAGCTTCATTCCACTTTAGGACAAGAAACAAAATCTGTGAAATGTTTCTTAGGTAGACTGGGAAACACAAAGACACACAGGGGAGGAGGTGGCACTGGACTTGCACTATACAGGACTTTCCAAAGTCAATGGCATACCTGAGGCTTGAGTGCAAAGATGGCAAAATTAGACAAAGCCAGTCAGGACAAGGAGTGAAAAAAGGAACACTGCCATCCTGATTGTCAGTATACAGAAAATGGGGACTGATGCAGTTTTACTGTATCTATTGCTAGATTTGTATGGCTGTCTGTTAATACACTGTTCCCTGGACTGCTCACAAAGCAATGAATACATTAAAATAAACATTAAAATATAAGATAATTAAAAGCATCAATAAAAACAAATAAAATACAGCATAAGCCTTTCCTTCCTCACACAGAGAACATTGTGCTGGAAATCAGCAAGTGGCTTCTCTATAATTCTGGTTCTTCGAGTGACATCTCAGAACTCGCAGTCATGAAGCCTCCTGGACTAGAGTGCAGTGTTATGTTCAGAGTGTTCTAGAGCTTAATAACAGTCTTCTGGTGTGCACCTCACCTCTTTCATTGTTCTTATCCCCAACTGTTCCCCTCAGTTCTTCTCAGTTCTCTATCTCACTTCTAATGCAATCTATAGAAATCTCTGAGAGGAGGGTAGTGTGTGTTCAAAGATGACCAAAGAACCACAGTTCCACTTAGGCAACCTGTTCTTTGTCATGATCTCTAACTAAATACAGTGGTGCCCCGCTTGACGACAATAATGCATTCCAGCAAAATTGCTGTAGAGCAAAATCATCGGCAAGCGAAAGTAAAAAACCCATTGAAATGCATTGAAAACTGGTCAATGCATTCCAATGGGGAAAATACCTGATCGCCCAGCGAAGATTGCCCATAGAGAACCACCGATCAGCTGTTAAAAATCGCTGTAATGCAAAGCTTCTGTCCGGAAAGCAGCTATTTTGAGAAGGGAGGGAAACCATTTTGCGGAGGGAAGCCATTCTGCAGAACCGGAAAGCAGCCATTTTGAGAAGGGAGGGAAGACATTTTTTCGGAGGGAAGCCATTTTACAGAACCGGAAAGCAGCCATTTTGAGAAGGGAGGGAATCCATTTTGTGGAACTGGAAAGCAGCCATTTTGAGAAGGGAGGGAAGCCATTTTGTGGAGCCGGAAAAAACAGGCTCCTAATCAACGTAAAGCGGATTTCCCCCAATGGAACCATCGTTTTGTGATCGCAATAGCGATCGCAAAAATGTCGTTGTTAAGCTATTCTGACGTCATGTGGGGTAAGCGTCTAGTGGGGCACCACTGTACACACAAGGATTTACCAAAAACATCTTCTGGTGGAAGATATCTCACACTGCAGGTAAAGGTAATAATGTTCTTCCTGACAGTGATCACTCAAGTTATTTGACTCCCAAACATAGAAACTGGTAAATGCTTTCTTATCAAAAAATAAATGAAGAGCTTTATGAAATGGTTTTGTTCCATAGACCCAGAAGGCTAACTTTGCCCTGGCATCTAAGTGTAGTGCTTTCTTCATATAGTGGTAGGCTCTGAACAGGTAGAGGGAGAATCAGTTGTTGAAGTAAATGACACTAAAATGAAGAAGGTAGACAAAAAGGAACTGACAAATTGTGCAATGACAGGGACAGAGTGCACCAGAAGACCACTATCAAACTTTTCAAGATTTTGAACATGCTCTGCACAGGTATAGGAAATGTTGCATGTATGAATAACAAAAGTCAGGAAAAGCAAGGCTTACACAGTTACCTCCACAGCAGTTTATACAGCAAAATAACTGGCTAAAGGGAAAGAACTTAAGACTGTGGGGGATACAGACAGACCCATGACTATTACTTTCCTCAGGTCTGCAAATCTCCCTCCAATTTCTATCCACCCACAACATATTGCCAAATGACAGCTTCATTTCTGCATGAGCTTCATCAACTGTTGCATTCATAGAACCTGCCCCGAGAAAAAAAAAGCTTATTTCAAGAAATGTAGTTTATATACATGATTGTCTTTCAGAAGCAGCAGTTTCCTAGCTTATTATTCGTATTTTTTATAGTTTTGTTCTGCCTAAAACTGTGTAAAGACATTTGAAAGATTTAATTCCACTTTGCAATTCTAAATAGATCCCCTTAATTGCTCATGTCAGACACCCGTTTCATGTTTTATAAAAATTTATAAAGCAATTCAGATCCATCAGGAAGGGGACTCTTTAGCATTCAAGTTTATTCACTTGCTACCTGTTCCTCATACTAATGTGTTCTCCATCAGTCACTCAGGTCAAGAAACCACTTGTAAGAGATTTAATATTCATAAGGTAATTCTGTATTTTCATTTACTAGACATCTATCACACAATGCCCCAAAACTCAGATGTAACATTCATAAAACTGTCTCAGTGCTGAAGATAAGCTTCCTTGACTTTACATCATTAAACAGTGGAAAAAAACAATGCCATTAAAATGGTCAGGTATGGTTGAACATGCTGCATACTTAGCAGCAGAGATGCCTCTGAAAACAGTTGTTCACTGACAATATACAATTACATTATCTTCATTTGTGCTGAGATATGTCTTGTTGGATTTCTAAACCACTGCAGGTAAAACAGTACAAATACTTAGCCATACAATTTTTAAAAGGCTGAAATCCTATTGCTTAGTATAGGAAATCACATGAGAGCAGATCCACTGAATCAGTCGAGATTTGCTGCATTGAGTCATTGTAGAGTGTTCACTGCATTTTGAGAAAACTTATTTGCAGTTCTTTGGATGCCAGCAATACAGTCTCTCACTTGCTAGAGAGATATTCACTGAATGCAGGTGGAGTCAGACAAGGCCCATGGGTAGATCGAAGTGCCAACGTGAGGTCTATTTAAGGTCATTTTAAAAGCAGTGTAGCTAGCCCCTTGCACCAAATCAACCTGTTAAATTGAGGCTGCTGATGAGGACAGGCGCAGCAGCACAAAGAGCATGTGACATGAACTGATACAATAATACCCCAACGCAACACTCAGATTATTTTGGCAATTTAGTCACACCCTAAATCTACCAATTATATTTCAGAAGGAATAGGAAAAAAGTCATATTTTAAGATTCCAGATAATTTTCTTGCTCAAAGATGTAGCATCATAAGGTTGCTCACCAGACAACTGTTCAGTGAATGTCCAATCATCTTTCAAAGGCATGTTATTCAGTACATCTTAACTAAATCCTCATTATCCTATTCCAGATTGTTCAGGAACACAAACATATTCTTGTCCTCTAAAGCACAATTTGTGATCTATATAACTGTGAGACCTGAAAAAGCAAAGCTAGATAGGAGGCTCTAGTTTGCTAACCTACACTGAAGGACACAGCATAGATTTGTAAGCTATGAGTAGAAGAGTGCTTCCTCAACATATCTGGAGCTAGATCAATGGAGTCTTTAAAAAAATACAAAAATAAAAAAGGAATAGTGCTAACCTTTGTTTCTGAAATGTATTTAATATTTGAAATATGCCTGTAGTGTTACAACTATAGCCTTAGCCCTTTCAAGACATCAAATGTTAGATCTGTCAAGTAAAATGGGACAGAAAAAAGAGCCCGTCATTGTTTAACAATTTATTGTTTGTGAAGAAGTTTGCTGTTATGAAAAGTTCCGTAGAAAACAGTTCATCCTGCATTCAGGTTTTGATTACTCAAAATGAGAAATTTGTTATTAGTGAAAACTCCAGTAGAAAGAAAGTTCTGTAGGAAACAATCTTGGCACAAAGTAAAAGCTTTTAAACAACTTAGATCTCAAAAGAGTATTACCATGCAATATTGGCAGAAAAGCCCATTTCTAATGGCTGATACTCTCATCCATTAAGACAATAACATGGAAGACACTTAAACCTGCTTCATATAAAGTTAATTGCATATAAATATGGTCTCACCATAACTGGCAGTTTTTATACAAGCCAGTCATTCAGTTTAAGAGTTCTAAGTATGTAATAGGCACTTTGCCCTTCTGATTTCCTCGTTCACCCATCAACCAGTCTGAATCCATGCCAGGAATACTGTACACTGTTATAACCTAAAAGAAAAAGAAAAAACAAACAGCATTTGTCTCCACATGTGCCATAAAATACATAAAATATAGGTAAAGGTTCCCCTTGACAATTTGTCCAGTCATGTCTGACTCTAGGGGGTGGTGCTCATCTCCATTTCCAACTCATGAGAGCTAGTGTTTGTCCGAAGACAATCTTCCGTGGTCACGTGGCCAGCACGACTAGACACGGAACGCCATTATCTTCCCACCTTGGTGGTACCTATTTCTCTACTCACATTTTTTGCATTTTGCATGCTCTCGAACCACTAGGTTAGCAGGAGCTGGGACAAGCGACGGGGACTCACTCTGATGCGTGGATTCGATCTTACTACTGCAGGTCTTCTGACCTTGCAGCACAGAAGCTTCTGCGGTTTAACCCACAGTGCTACCACGTCCCACAACATAAAATATATTTGTTATAAAATAAACTCACATAGCGACCTCATTACTTGTTGGAGCACCTCTCCTTGATATTTTCTACCCATATCACCCATTCTTCCCAAGCTTTGATACTATGGGTGCCACCCTCAGGGAGGCTCGGAAGTTTACAACCAGAACCATGTATTCTTAGTGGCGGTTGCCTCTTCATGGAATGCATTACCGGTGGAGGAGCACCAGGCCCCTTCTGCCCCAACATTCCAGAAGCTAGAAGAAACACTACTTTTTAGAGAATCTTTTTTGGGATCTCCTCCCCTTGCAATTGTTTATCTTATACTTGTGTATACTGATGTTATATCTTGATTCTCTTATGTGACTGCCGTTGCCACTGGGGGGTTGGGTTCTTTTTTGGGTTGTTTTAGATTATTTTGGATGCATGGGAGGGTGAGTTTTTATGCTTCATGTCTGTAAATTGCCCAAAGTAGTGGCATGCTACTAGATGGGTATTTATCTAAAAACTAGATAAATACGTAAGTTAGATAAAATTGGACAATTCAGTTCTCTGAATTTTCCTTCTGCCTATTAACCAGATAGGACAAATCAAGCAGTACTCACCCCATTCTGACTGGATAAATGGGGTATTATATCTGGGAGGAACATGGAGGGCCCATTGGCAGTTATTCTTGGCCTGGAGTTCTCAGCTCCACATGTTATGGCCCTGCTTCCTAATAATCTGGGGGAGTATTCCTTTTCTTTTAACCTTCACAATCACCAGATAGCTCTTCTGAGGTGTCTAAATGTTCTGCTAGGAAACTGTCCATATAGACTGATCACCCCCACCCCCCAGAGTAATAACTCAGCCATTGGAGAAAGAAGTTAATGAAACCCAATTCTCACAAAGTCTTATCATTTCATGTCATGCACTCACAAGTAAGCAGTATCTAAAATTGGATTATATTATATAATTGGATATATAATAATCTTTACAATCATCTTAGAACTGCAGAGCTGGAAGGGACCCTATGGATTGTCAAGTCCAGCCCCTGTCAAGGAGGCACAGTCCCAACCTCTAGCTCCACAGCCAGATGCCTAAACTGCTGAGCTATCCAGCAGTTCACATACCATGCTAATCAATAAGGACATGCCATTTCATTTTGGTTTTGTACTACAAAATCCAACAGACACCTTCACACACCCAAATGTGTCTCTCCTAGGAGAAAGGTCCAAGTTAGAAAGCTTCATTGCCAGTTTCTACTCAGCTTCCTGTCCCAACAAGCACCAGGACAGCTTCTTTTTTTTGAACAGGAAGCTAACTTGAGCTAGACCTATGCTAGATTACAAAGCTTTCCAGCTTGAGCCCCTCTCCCACATGACCCACATTTAGTTAGTTGACTGTATCACAAAGGAGAATTCTTTGATTTGTATTTAAAAAGAAATGAATGGGGCATCTCTATTGGTGAATGGAGGTGGGGATACCCCAGCTGATGATGCTTTCCACTACAGAAATATTGGACAATCTGCTTATTTGGATCCTCCATCAAGAACATCAGAATCCTCCTAATGGAGAAAAGTAAAGATCTCCCCAACATCTAGTTCAACTGTTCGAGGGACAAGAGGGAGAATCACACAAGCTCAGTGCAAATCAGAATACTGAAGAATTTCCCAGGGTCACTAGCAGCCTCACAAAAGCCTTGTTAACTTTTTTAAAAAAGGGGGGAGGAGTAAATATTTGATACACATGTCTGTTCCTGATAGAAATGTTACATGAAAGATCACCAGGTATTAGAACAGCCAAATAATGTTACAGTCACATGATAAACATAGAAGCAATCTACAGATTGGTAACATCACAAGGCTTACACAGACACAGGTAACTCTTCTTTCACCATTAGTACAGATTCAATTGCTGATATACAGGCCCACATATTTCCAGTGACAAATGGCTATTTATATGCCTACAATCTTTGATGATGATGATGTAAAGTTAAGAGGCTGGTTTTTTATGTACCTTTAACTCATAATATAGTTATCTTTTTCATGTACCTAAGACCAAGAAAAGGAAGCATGTACCTCATCTGCAAGAAGTGATAATTCACTGCTGTTGGCCGCATCATAATCATAAAGAACTCTAGCTTTTCTGCTGCCACTTGAGGACTTCAGTTCACCAAAGCTTGAAGTAACTGCTGCATTGCTTACTGAAGACAATGAGGCTGTGGCAGAGGCAGAGGATGCTGCAGTAGTGCTAGAACTACTTGGGACACAGGTTGAAGTTGACTGGTTATTGTTAGCAAGAAATGTAGATGGAAAGCTGCAAAACACAAGAATAAACTTAATCACCATGAAATGCTAATAGTGAAATAAACTTCCAAGTGTGACTCTTAATTCCCAATTACTATCAGCAATTTGCCATGTTCTTGGGAGCTAAAGTAGGTTTTTAAACATGATTTCTAGCTTTTTGTCATTTTCCAATAGATGCATCTTATAAGAAGATGAATGACTACAGTTACCAAATGTTATCAGTAACTTAAAAGAATTCTTAGAAATTCTATTATAAAAATAAACTTTACAAATGGTGTTGTGAAGCCCTGCTGCATAGCTCCATGAGTGAAAAACTGATTATGTCATCATCAGGGGCAAATTGCCTCTGATTAAATGTGATTTTGGGGTTCACACAATTCATATACAATGTGATAAAGTCACATGCATCCAGAAATCCCCAAAGAAAGCTTTTAATCAACAAAAAATGACTGCTGCTGAAGCTATTATCACTGTTGCACATATGGAGTTGTGCAACAGGATTCCAATCAATGTTTTACTTTGCACCATCTTGCATTGTCACATATAGACTTATGTAGTAGTAATTCCAGTTTATACCATGTGGCGTAGTGAATAGAGTGATGGACTAGGACTGAGGAGACATCAGCTTAAATTCCTGCTTGGCCATGGAAACTCATGGGGGAGGGTTTGGAACTGGTAAAACTACTCCTTAAATATCTCACTTACCTTGAAAGCCCTGTTAGGGTTGCTATACGTCAATTTGGACTTAATGTAACAACTTGCAGTTAGATTATCATAATGTGTTCTGTGTAGGTTATCCTTCAGGACAACAAAGAAACTGCAACTAACACAAAATGAAGTATCTAGACCACTGGTTCTTAACCTTGGGTTACTCAGGAGTTTTGGACTGCAACTCCCAGAAACCTTCACCACCAGCTGTGCTGACTGGGGTTTCTGGGAGTTGCAGTTCAAAAGCATCTGAGTAACAAAGAACCACTGATCTAGACTGCTGGTAGGAACATGATGTAGTAACCATGTTACACAGGTGTGTTTTTTTTAAATATATATATATTTATTTATTGGTCAGGCTTAAGATGCTGGTGATGACGACCAAAGCCCTAAATGGCTTGGGACCTCAATATCTGAGCAAGTGTCTCTCCCTATGTGTACCTACCTGACCATTTACCATGTTTCCCTGAAAATAAGACAGGGTCATATTAATTTTTGCTCAAAAAAACTCATTAGGGCTTATTGCCAGAGGATGTTTTATTTTACAGTCATGTTATCTTCTTTTGGTTGCTGCACAATGGTGGAGGGTGGGGTTTCACTTAACTGGGGCTTATTTTTGGGGTAGGGCTTATATGACGAGCATCCTGAAAAATCATACTAGGACTTATTTTCAGGTTAGGTCTTATTTTCAGAGAAACAGGGTAGAACTGTTGTGGGGTGTCTCCTGACATTAGGAAAATTACACAGTCATTGGATAGGTGTAGTGCTCCAACTGTGGAATACCCTCTTCTTGGAGGCCTGACTAGTATTGATACTGGCTTTACTTCAGCACCAAATTAATAACCAAAATCTTATTGTGCAACTGCACATGTTCAACTCCTTAAAAAGAACCCAAGTTATTTACCCAACTGTATTTTGTCCTACAAATGTATGTTACAGAATAGCCTAAAAATATTTTAATACATAATTAAGCTTCATGTATTGGTTTCCCTATTCAAACAAATCATGCTACTCCAACTTTACACTCATACCAATTGCTGACATTTACTTTACACATTAGAAATTTTCCCAGAAACAGACTCTCAACGAGCAGGCCTAATATCTTTAAACAACACAGAACAAATTTTTATCTGATGGTTGAAAGAAAATCAGAACAACATTGTTCTGCATGGAGTCAGAAGCAACCTAATTCCAGAATCATTCCTGTATTCACCTGCAGTTTGAAAGAAAAGGTACTGTATTCCCAGGCTCCTTGAAAGACCTTTGGGGAACAGAGCAACTGTCATTCTATGTATACTTTAGGCAGCTCATCTTTACATATACAAGACTGACACCACCTTCTCAGATTAAACTCTGTTTCGAAAAAGCAATGTAGAACTTTGCTTGCACCCAACATATCCTCTCTTCAGATAAATGACTGATTCTTCTGAATCAGTCTTCCACCCAACAGAACTTCTCATTTGAAAAACAGCTGTTTCTTGTGAATCAGTAAAATTAGCATGACACCTGTCTACATATCCTAAAACATGATTCACAGAAACCACAATGCTCACAAGTGTATATTAATGATAATCATATGAATACGTAACACAAAGAACAATCTTAGGTGTGGAAGGAGGGACCTAAACGGAGGAACTTCCTATGCCCTGCAAATTTGTATTTTCCAAGACAGAAAATTGCTAACAATTATATACCTCTCCTTATAGCCTGGGGGAGGAATATAGTACATTGTACATTATTTACTCTTGAACTAGTGTACTTCCTTGCTGTTTGCTGGTATGTCAGGAGACTGAAGGGCCTTGAATCTTATGGATGCCTGGCAACAGTCAGGATACTCTCTAAACCATCCTGTTTTTAGTTTTGCTACAAAAGCAGTACTAGTGGAACAAACACATCAGCAGAAAGATCTACAGCTATCCACAGAGAAACCTCTCTCTTTATGGGCTGCGAGGCGAGGTCTGTAGAATCCACTAGTCTCTGGGATGGCTTCCTATGGATCAGAATCACAAAAGGGGAAGATGACACATTCACACTGCAGAAGCCTTTTACTCCCCAAACCTAGACATTTTCATCCGTAACTACAGCTAACACTCTCAAGGCGTTTTTGGATAAGCAACTAATTAATTTCAGTATCATTGGTTGCAAAACAACACTAAGCTTTAGATTCTTGAATAAAATAAAGATTAAGATCTTTGATCAGACACACTGATGATATCTACATTAAGCATTCTGCACTTGCCTGTGAGTTCAAATAATTTACAGGATCATTAGCTACTACTCTGGCCTTATTAGCATTCCACAGCAAGATATTCTTCCACTTCTCTACCACACACTCTCTCTTTCCCTCTATAAGCACCTTCTGGCCTAGGATGATGCTGTTCCATTCTGGCAAGCTCCCAGACATATCTGCAAACCAGGTCAAGGCCTTCCATTAGCAAGCCAAGTGTTAAGATGCAGCTGCTTGTCACGAGACTGGTTTTTAGGAAATGAAATAAATGTTTGCTAATATGAAGCAACACCACTTTAGCTGGGTTGCTGTTCTGTATGATTTTAAAAAGTGCTGAATATCCTTTACCATGAAAACAGACTGCTATTTTTTATTTCTTTGAAATATTTATTCGTTTGCAATGTTCTGTGTTCTTGGCTGCAGGCAGCCTGGTATACTCCCACATGTACCAGGACATGCCCTACTGCTCTTCAGGATAAGCTTCTTTATGATTCAAACCACAGCATTTTATGCCCACCTTTCTTCTGCAGTGCTGCCTGGGCTCTTACTGAACTCTGTTAAGCCATTTCCTCAAACGTCTGTAAAGTCATTAAAGTAGGATTGTACAGAAGTGTTGCTGCTACTTATTTGCCATCTGATCTGATCACTATGGTACATTTCTAGCTTACACTGGCACACTGGTACAATGATCTGAAATAGCATCATTAGCGTGGGCCCCCTCTATGCTGCCTTTGTATTTCATCGCTCTGAGGTTTAGGCAAATAGCTATACAGAATATAGTTGTTTTACCTTCCAAGCTGTTTCTGAAGGTCCAACATATATTGGTAACACTGTGCATAGTATGTCATCTGGGCTTCTACAAAATCATTCAAACAACGAAGATGATGTGCCTGTAATACAGTGGAGTGCAAATTGTCAGTACTGTACACACACACACACACAAAACTACTGTATTATGTTAACTAAATTCTGTCAGTTTTGGGGATGTTCCATTACATTCCACTCTTGAACTTGATTCAAGAACATTTTAGAGAATTCTGTTTTAAAAATTATTGCAAAAGGAAGAACAGAACAACCCACTGGACTAACTCTTTCAATTAATGTACTGTAGTAAATGAGAGTATCCCTGCCAACATGTGAATTTAATTATTTTTAACTCACTGGTGGTGGGGTGGGGTATGAGGTACTAGTACCTTCAAGCACTTTATACCATAACCTTCTATTTACTATAATCTATGTCAGATGTTTTAGGGCAATAGAGAAAGAAGCAGGGATGTTCATTTTACAGCTCCACCAAGCCAACCCTAGAAGCATGTTTTATTAGATAAGGGATAGGCACAACATGTGGACCCTCCAGATCTTGCTGGGCTGCAACTTTTATCACCCTAACCACCACAGCCAAGGGTGAAAGATGGTGGAAGTTTCAGTTCAACCATATCTGGAGGGCCACAAATCACTCACCCATTTTAATGAAAAATATACGGGCTGAAATCCTCTTGCAAAAGTTGTGTCTTGTAGGGCTGATGACATCATCAGACATAGCAATTTTTCACAAATAAAATATTTATGATTTCTCCCACAAAGGTCCCAGAACTCCTGTAGAATCCCTTTCATCATCAGGAATCTGTTGAGCGCCACAGGGAAAGATTTAATTACTGAAGATCACACCACTGGTAAAGCCATCCCGGTATCAGTGATTTTCAATAATCAAAGACTTCCTCCTCCCAACCCACAGTCCAGCAGGTGCCCAACAGTGAAATGGATTCCAATGAAGCCTCGAGAGGGAAATCAGAATGTTTTATTTCCAAACATCACTGCAGCTGATCATATCATCAGCCTTATGTGGTATAGCTCATGGCCAACATTCCCTCTAATTTTCCATCAGGGTTGGGTGGGCACACTGCCCCATGTGACCAGTATCAAATGAGTGGCTGTGGGTGTGCAGCACCGATGCAGTACTGCACAGCTGTGTACCCATGCAGCTTAGAGAGAATGCTGCTCATGGCAACACAATTTCTGCCACTGAGCTATGGTCGTGTTGCTTGTATAATCACTTTCCATTTTCTTACTCCAATATTATAGTAAACTTTGTGCAAACATTTAAAAACTATTTATAATTTGATTTGTGTCAGTTAATTGTTTTTTTAAAATCTCTGGAGAAACAAGGGTATTTTTATCCATGTACATACGCAATCTTCAACAAAAATGTTACAAGTCAGCTATATTCCCTTCCACTTACATGTGTACTGCTGATGCCTTCCAACAGAAGTCGAGTAATTTCTGCTTGTCGATCAAACTCACTCTGGGCTATCCTGACTTCCTGTTCAGACTATAAGGCACATTACAATTGTTAACAGAATGCTGATACAGAAGATTAATTATACTGCTGGGCAAAACACAGCAAATGCCAATGAAAATCAATGCAGCCTTTTTAACTATGCATTTCAGATCAATAGGATTTACTTAAAACTAATACGGCTTGTGCAATAGTGCTCTGCCAGTAAGAATCTATATTACAATTCTGTAATTCAATTTATATCAGTGATCCAGAAGCTGGATATACTGCCCAATGTTCTGTCTAAATCACTGACAATACTATATTTCTTGTTGTATATTACATCCTGTTAGAAATAAAAGGCTAGTATTGAGAAAATAGTTTTTAATTAAAAACACACCTCCTTTACAACACAAGAACAGCAGTAAAATGTAAAAAGAGAATGTATCTATTAGTTGTTGTAGGTTTTCCAGGCTGTTTGGCCATGTTGTGGAGGTTTTTCTTCCTAACATTTTGCCAGTCTCTGTGGCCAGCATCTTCAGAGGACAAGAGTTAGAACTGTCTGTGTTCTAACAAGAGTTCTAACTCCTGTCATCCGAAGATGCCAACCACAGAAACTGGCGAAATGTTACGAAGAAAAACCTTCAGAACATGGCCAAATGACAAAAAAACAAACAAAAAAACAAACAAACAAAAAACAACAACAATAACCCTACAAAAACTATCAGATCCTGGTCATGAAAGCCTTCAAGAATATACAATGTATCTAATAGTTTGGTAGCTTATATAAGATGTTTCATATTTTGGAGTTTTGCATGGTTGCACAAACAGAATGAGAACATTCATTACTTTTATGTTGAGCTTTTCATTTTCAATGATTCATTTCAGAAAAAGAAAGAGTCATAATGCAAGTTCTTGGCACTTTCAATAAAGCTCAGCTACGAGCTTCCCTCGTATCTTCTCTCGTACATTTTGTCATAAATATTTTACATGCTCCGTTTGGGTGATTATCATTCTTAGAAACCATTTCGTCACCAACAGTTCCACTTATATCAAACAATGTTAGTCTGATGTCATGGATGAGCCAAATTTCTATCTCATCTCAATTTTACACTGTTTCATAACCAATAGTTTCAACTAAGAGTACTTACTTTTGTTACTTCTTCTGCCCATACCTTGTATGCATGAAGAATTAGAGATAATAACATGAAGGATTTCTCTGACAAATCTTTACTGTATTGTGTTCTTTAGCATCTTTCATATTTTAATTGTCTGGTTAATTTCATCTGTGGTGTGTGTGTGTGTGTGTGTGTGTGTGTGTGTGAAGTGCTTGATATTAAGTAGAGCTCCGTTGAGCTGCATTACAGCTTGTGTAACAATAAAAGCATGAATAGATACTCTGCTGCCTCCAGATGGTATGGACTTGTTTGCACATACATATAGTTGTAACTCTTATGAGTCCCAGCTAGCATGGCCAGTAATCAATTACAGAAGTAATACCAAACATCGGGTTGTTTTTTGTAGATTTTAAAGTTTTAACTGACAAATGCTATCACAGGCCACAGATTATTACTATGCAATACTGGTTTACAAGTTAACTTTGTAAAAATATTATCAACTGTAGTAGGGGGTACAACCAACAAAGAGGTGATGGTGTTCTGTTAGCAATTGTGCATACACTAGCAAAACAAGCACAAGTGAAAGTAGCACAGAACTTAATAATATTGAAATCCACATTTGCCTGTGCAAATGAAATCAAAGTAGTGGTTTTGACACTTAGGTTTAAGAAATAAAGGATTTGAAAAAACAACTCTGTTTGCAGAAGGACCAGTGATCCAATGGAGGCATTTCCCCCCCCAATTCTCCCTCCAGTCTCGCAGACTGTTTCAAGGATCCTCCAATCTTCTGGAGCAAACAATGTGTGTGCAAGCAAGCACATGCATGCACATGCATGAACACACAGAGGATGTTAAGAAACTGGCTAATTTCTTCATTTTCTGTGAAAAGTGTTCTATTGATAGGATCTTGAAGTTCTCTAGAGCCAACAAATTCAATGTGACAGTAGTGAAATTATTTCGGACAAAACCAGCTTACAAATATATGACTATCAAAGCACACAATGACTGTTAAGTCTAACATACGATTTACTAAATTATGAATGAATGCATTCATGGGCCTTGTTCTAAAAATGTCCTGTATAAGTCTAGTCTACCAAAAACACAGCTAAATGATAGTGAAAAGTGATTTCTCTTGCTATCCCAGCCTTCCTTCAGCCAATTAATAGTTTAGATGTTCAGATCACTGCTTTGGTTGTAAAATGCATCCCAGTCCTTCTATTACTTTGATTCACTGCAGTCGGTCATAAAAAAATTAGAGGACAAAGCCCTGCATCTAACATTGGCCAAAATCCTGTTCACATACAGTTATATGGTGGAAGCTGATGACATCATGAGCTGGCACTGGTAACAGTTCAGGCTAATAAAAAGCTTTTTATCTCCCTATTTTAAGTTCTGAGGCTCCCTGTGCTCTCTTTTGCCCTAGGGAAGCCTTTGAGAGCCTTGAGACAAGGGTGGTCTAGGGTCTTTAAAAGTCAAAATTGCCATCAGATCACAACTGGCAGGATCACAATTGGCATCATCAGCTTCCACTGTGTAACTTTACACACACAGGATTTGCACAACTGCTACAAAATGTATGCAAATATTTGTGCTAAAGGTTGTACATATTACACGCTTACACAAGACACTCTTAGACTTCTTATGTATATGGTTCTTTCAAATGTACAGCAGTTAGATGACACAATGGGCCACAGGCTATACTAGTTGGACATCAGAGTTCAGCTCTGCAGCACAGTCCAGTTTCTCTGAACACTGGAACTGTCCACTATAACGGCTTAACGTTCCTGTCCCATCTCCAAAGATATGCCTGCATGTCAGCTGATGTTTTTAATTTCCTTTTGATTTTAACTCTACAATTAGATAAGGACTTGGACAAAATACTCTATAAGTATTTGACAATAAGCATATGACAATAAGCATAGTCAACAGTATAAACTGCAGTAGATAACTCAAGGAATGAAGTGAAATTATGTACTTTATATGGGGACACAGGCATTTTATGTTTGTCCAATTTGTTAAACTTTACATACTAAGGGATCATGTGAAAAAGAGCAGGATAATTAACTCACTTATTTTCTCAAAAGAAATTGAAATACCTTAATTATTAAAATACATCAGCACAAAAGCAAGAGAAAACACTTGAAAGTACATTATGAAAACACAGAGGCCAACAAACCTGTAGCCATTTTACATGCAGCAAGTTGAGCATGTAAGAGACATTTACCATAATGTTATTTTCCTCAGGTGGAGACAGGTTTAGTTGCTTTAAGTATATAAAAAAAGATCATGTTATATTTGTAAAAAAAAATCTGCAAGATGCAAGACTGATCATTACAGTTCCATTGCAGAATCACTGGACCAAATCAGAGACATTAATTTAGGCATTCATCAAAGAGTTCTGCTTCGTGCATAATTTTCCATTTATTTCATTTTTATTCTCAGTGCTTTCAGGAAAGGTATAAAGACACATATTTTAAAATTGTCTTATAATACTGTTTTAATTTATTGCTATGATTTTAATGGTTCTTAAGATTGTGTCTGGTTTTATTTGATTTAAACAATTCTATGACTGAATTTGGTTTTTCTATTTTTTTACAATTACATTTTATGATGATTATAGGATACTTTGAGTATTATATTGTAAGGCAGGTTAGAAATTAATTATGTAAATAATGTATGTAAATAAGTTCCCCCATGCCAACAAACGAGACACTTCTCTGAGAATTCCTTACCTTTCCAATACCTTCCACAGGAAGACCTAGGTGCTGTTCTTTACCATTTAGGTGCAAGTTAAAGATACTGCATTTTTAGACTTTTAAGGAATGCCAATATTGGTGTTTGTTTTTTAAAAACTTAGAACAATTTTGACATTGCTTTTATTTGAGTGAACTGTTTCTGTTTTGGTTCACTGCCACAGAAGTAGTTTATATTTTTAATAAGAGTAGGAGTTGGGGTGTGGAAAGGGATGGGGGGATGGGTAGGGGAAAGGTAAAATTCCAGAGAACAAAGGGGTATTCTTCCATCCACTTACAGAGTTATGCTAAAAAGGGAAGTCACCCACTAAAAGAAAACAAAATCACATTGTTTCCAGAATATCTATGGTTACCAATCTCTCAGGTCCCTTGGACCTTCTCATTCTTCTTTTATCTATACTTTCCAATACATGTTTCGAATCCAATTATAAAACTGTTCCCATTTTTAAATCCTTATCTATAAAACATATTGTATATATTTAAAACTTACTGATTTTGTTACTATTCTGCCAAATTTGTACCCACTGTTCTAAACCAATATTGTGACCAATATTTTTTACCCATTTTATCATAGTCTTTCACCACTTCATTTCCCATTTTATGAAGTAGTTATATGTAATTGATTCCTGTTCCAAGAGCTTCATCAACTCCATGTACTGTCTCCTCCTCTGTCCCACCTGCCATGTGATATGCTCCAGAATCTCAATTTCCCCCTCTTTCACAATACAATCTCCATCCTGTGTGTTGCCTAAAACTTTTGTATTTTTACTTAACAGCAATGCTCAAATAGACAGCAAAATCAAAACTGCACTAAATTGGAAACACTAATATTGGAATTTTTTTCCTAATTTGGGTAAGTAGTTTATTCCTAATTTGTTAGCTACTCTGGGAATATAAATTTCCAAATCTTTTAAAGGTGTAGGATACAAATCATCTAGTAAGATATTATTCTAATTTCCTAATTATACAACCCATTGATCACCTGTACAATGCAAGAGACATTCTGCTCTATTGCTCTTTATCATCAGAATCAGCCAAAGCTGTGGAGGATTTTCTTTTCATTCAGATGGTCAATATGATACAATCTTTAACAAAGATTACAGACAAGTTAAAAAATGTGTAGAGTTAAATTCAAAGCTCAACTATATATATATCCAAAATTTTATTTACTTGAATGTTTATAATATAGATTAATATATGATATGACATTAGAGGATATGATATATGTACCCTTCCCCTAGTAACTCTGATAGGTGAATAGAATGCAGTGTATCACTGGTATTAGTCATGTCTCTTCCTGACACACAGTACCTCAGTATTGTAGCTAACATCACATTCTTCCCCAACAGATTCCCACTGTCTTCCTCCTAAGTTATGTGTCTGGCAGGTGCATCTTTCAAGTTTTCCTTCACCAATCTTTTCCACCAGACGTTTTCTTTTTTCAAATAAACTTTGTGGAAAAATTTAGATCTCACTCAGTGATATCTGCTTTCAAGCTGAAGGATTTTGCTGGCAAAATTGAGGAGTGGCTCTTGAAAACTTTCCTGTTACCCTGCAGCTACATGTGCCTTCTCTTCTGTACTGTACTCATAAACATCCAGATCAGTTTATTTGAGACAAAAAGTAGGTGCAAGGTAAGGGAGAGCTGGCAGAAGTCTAGTTCCAATTCAAAGTAAATGATAATAAATTCTTAATTTTGCAGCGATATAGCTTACTTACTGCAGCTCGAGCTTCTGCTACTTTTGCCTTTTTCAGTCGAGTTTTGGCAGCGTCCAGGTCTAGACGTTTATTTTGTAATAATTTGCGCTCTCTCTGTGAAAGAAGAGGAAGAACCTTATTTAGAAAAACAGCAAAAGACACTTACACTTTCTGTTCCCTTCCTAGTCTATATTGTTTGGAGACTTCTGGATTAGGATTCTGTTAATAGAATTTCTTGATAATAACACAACATACTTACCTATATAAAACTGACATTCCTTTGTTGTTTAGAACTATTTTAAGTTTTAGCTAAGCCATTATATTTGCAACTCACATTTATAGTCTTATAATCTCCTTCTATAAAGTTTCTTAGAGGTGTGAGGAAGTTTATTGCAGCTGTCTGTATTAGTTCTCTGTCAGCCGCTCCAATACGTTTTTGTGTTTCTCCACATTTAATGAGAGCGTTTCCTGTAACAGAAAAAAATGTTTTCTTACATTTACTTTGCAGTAAGCCCTCCCCCAATTCAACTGAACTTATGAGCAAGTAGACATGTAGAACAGTGCAAGTGGTTTTATTAGCTTATATACAGTATAACCACCCACTCACAATTACTTACAGAAATTTAAGCTTGAACTGTTGACCTAGAGAATCTTCATAAAATCACTATGTGTATTATGTATTTGAGAACTATTCTGTTAGTAAGTATGGCTTTACTTTCATTATTACATTTTCTTCAAAAGGCAATTTTAGGTTCTTGAATATGTCTTATGTAAAATTTCAAAAGTTGAATTACCATATTTTTTGCTCCATAAGACGCACTTCCCCCTCTCAAAAAAAAATGTGGGGGGGGAGTCCCTGCATCTTATGGACCAAAGGCAGCAATTTCGTCGCTGCTGGCCCCGTGGGGGGGAGCATCACAAGGGTCTGGGTGAGCCTTCCAGGACCCTCGCGAGGCTCCCCCACCCCCACGGGGCCAGCGCCGGCGAAATCACCAGCTTCCAGGTGGGGGGAACGTCGCAAGGGTCCTGGAAGCTCACTCAGACCCTTGCGATGCTCCTCCCACCCCCGCACAGGGCCAGCGCCGGCAAAATCGCCAGTTTCTGGGAGTCTTTTGAGGCTTGGGAAGCCTCTGAAGAGTCCCAGAAGGTGGCGATTTTGCCCCCTCTCACCCCCGAGGGGGGCAGGGCGAGTCTCTAAAGCATCCTGGAACACACCCTAGGACCCTTTAGAGGCTCACCCTGCTGGGCCAGAGGGGGGGAAATCGCCAGCTTCTGGGACTCTTCTGAAGCTTCCCAAGCCTCAAGTCCCAGAAGCTGGCGATTTCACCCTCTCTGACCCCCGGGGGGGCAGGGCGAGCCTCCAAAGGGTCCTAGCGTGTGTTCCATAAGATGGACCTCTCCATAAGGCTCACCAATTTTTAGGAGAAGAAAACAAATTATTTTTTTCCTGTTTTCTTCTCCTAAAAATTTAGTGCATCTTGTGGAAAGGTGCGTCTTATGGAGCGAAAAATACGGTACAAACAATTTCTACACAGACCTATTTGCTAGTTAATCAAATGACCACAAATTTATATCCCATAGACTTTTAAGTAAATTCATTATAATCAGTGTGAACTGCTACTATGCAAATCAATCCAAGCTGCCCATATCATATGGAATAAGAATTGTCACTTACCATAAGCTGTTCCTGGACCAAACTCATTCCCAGAATCAATCATGTACTGGCCAAGCAGTTCGGGATTATTCACACGAGTTGGTACTTTGCGATCTAGTTTCTCATAGACAAACTCTTCCATTCTAGCATCTGGCAAAAGATAACATGTAGCCAATCAAAAACATTAAGGGGAAATGTTGCACTACCTTGGACTTACAGTGGTGCCTCGCTTAGCAATGTTAATTCGTTCCGAAAAAATCGCTGCTAAACGAAAACATCACTAAGCGAAATAAAAAAGCCCATGGAAATGCATTAAAACGTGATTAATGCGTTCCTATGTGCTTAAAACGAACCTTTAAGCGGAGATCCTCCATAGCGCTGCCATTTCTGGTGCCTCTAAAGCGAGGAATCCATCCCAGAAAACAGCGGGTGGCCATTTTGTTTACCTGGCGGCCATTTTGAAACCACCAATCTGCTGTGCGAAAATGGGGGCTTTGCGATGATCGCTTCCCTGCGATCATCGCAAAGCGAAAATACCCCATAGGGACCATCGTAAAGTGATCGCTTTTGCGATCGTAAAAAATGTGTCGCAAAGCGATTTCATCACTATACGGTGCAATCGCTATGTGAGGCACCACTGTATATTTTGTAACATCTATAAAAAATGCATCTTACTTCCTTCTTACTTATGGACCTAAATCCAGTTTTCAGTCCCAACTAGAGCAGGCATGTTGAATCAATGGAATTTATTTAAATGGTGACTTACCTACTATTCAGCAACTTATTCTAGCTAGGGCTAACTATTAGGTTTACATGGCAATTACTAAGTCTGTTAGTTATTAACACTAATGTTAAAAACAATATCATAGTAATAATACTAAAATCCAATTTCTCTAACAATATTTACCTGTTCTTAAAAACAAGGAAATCCAATTTAGTGATTAAGAACGTTGTAGTATATTTTATGAAGAATTTCTTATGTAAAAATTTTAATAAAAGCATATTACATCTATTATTAATGTATTTCATTTAATGTGTATCACACTTCCTCCCTAATTCAGGACCAAAAGCAGATTACATGTACATAGATAATCTTTTATCTAGGCTAGGATTAGACAATTTGTACCTTAAGTACATTTAAACTTGATGTCATAACTGACATCTGTTTATTAGTTTCTTCTGAAAACTCCAGAGTAGATAAAAGATACAATGTAAAAGTATTTTATTTAAAGTTAACCTGATATAGTAATTACAAAAGAAGAAAAGCAACCTACACTTAATTTATTTCTAGGCTACAAAAAAAACTTTTAGAAATATAGCACCCAAACTAATATATTATAGACTATGCAGACTTCTCTACTGTGTTTTTAATATACGTATGTGATTTTAAATAGTTTTAAAGTACTGAGAGGTTTTATATTGTTTACATTGTTGTACTCCTCTCCAAGATCTCAGGATATAATAGGGTAGAATATGACATAAATAAATGAATAAATATATTTGCATGTAATCCCTATTCTAATTAAATATCTATTTATATTGTGTTACTACTTCTCATACTGAAAGTTTGCAATATTATCTATTATACAGTTTTATTGTGAACAAAGTGTAATCTAATGCAAAGTATGTTGATACTTTGATTAAATTATAATCAAATTATAATCAAATACACTATTAATGTATATATTATCTCAGCAAAATGCATTCTATAAAGTGGTTCCACCAATTCTGCTTGGTTTACAACCCAGTTATAATGTACTGTATTCACTGTGGATCCTGTGAGATCCTCTGCACTCATCACAGCACACAAAAGAACGAAAGGAGGGATTTCCCTAAGCTGCACATTAGGTGGTACTACTCTTTGCTTGCATCTGCTTCACTGCTGTCAGCATTGCATAAAAAGCCTCCTCTGTGACACAGAAAAGACGATCTCATATCACATCAAGTACAGGCCTTCATGGCTGCCATGCAGGCTTCCGAGTCCTGCATAGACAGCAAAAAGAGCTATTTTTAAATTATTACCACAATTTCAGTTCTAATACACCAAACAGATGGCCAGTCTGACTAAGCTCCGAAGTGTGGAACTCCTCCTTAAACCTAACAGCTCAGCAGCTTTAAGCAGTAGTTCTGGGGGACAGCCAAATAACACTAAAATCCAAGTAAGGTCTTATGTATCATCAGCACTTCAGAATCAAGTTAACTGCTAGCAAAGTAGGTTTTTCCACAAAGCTTTAATCCCCACACAGCCAGCGTTATAGGAGACATAAGTCAAAGTTAGTGAACTGAAGGAGTTCCCTTAGTACGTCTTAATGTGCCTCAACTGAAGTGGTATGATCATACACCTCTACATGCTCCCTCACTTTTCAGAGCAATAAAGAAATGTTATATAGTATAGCCACACGTCAACATTTTTCTTTTTCCTCATGAAGATATACTTAGTTACTAACTGGAGGCCTACGTACTTCAGTATAAATGGAAAAGCCTTAAAATAATGTTTCTTTCAAACTTAGCATTTCTTCACATTAAAAAACTCCAGGAAATAGCATATCAAGGAGAAAGCAAATCAGGAATGGCTGCAATCTATTTACTTGCTGTTAACATAATATTAGTTCTTCCCCACTGCACCCCCATTCTAACTGAATATTTCCAAACATATTTAACAGAGCTATAATTGGACACCTTTGTATTTAAATACCATAATTTCCTTTCTCTCTTTGAAAATCATTGTCCATTCCCATTGTCCAATCATTATTATGTTAACACCCACAAGACTGATATTTGCAAAAAACTGAAAAAATAATAGTCAGTTTAATTTGGAGGATCTGTACAAAGAAATGTGGAACATGGCTATCAATGATAAATTAATGTGTGATCTGGATGTTCGAAAAGGAATATCGAAAACAAATTGTTTTAAGGAGATATGGAATGTGTTCTTAACTCATAAATTTGATTGGGGGGGGGAAGCTATACCCCAACACAAGAATCATATTTCCAAAGAGAGATGGGGCATGCAGTTTAAATAATTAAAACTAAAAAATTCCGATGGTGGTGGGGAACACTTTTAAGATACTAGTGAACTTTCTAGAAGTGTATTATGCTTAAGTACAATACAAAGTAGTGTAGATATACTGCCACTTCATTCTGCTATAATTAGAGAAAGTTTTAATATACAATACAAACCTAAAATAAATAGCCTAGGATTTCTCATCCCCCATCTTACAAGTAATTTTTAAAAATTTCCTAATCCACTTAGCTAGGACAGCTTTCTCTTTTTAAAGCCTGAAAAGAATTATCTCATCTCTGGACATAAACTGAAGAAATAGCAATACCGCAATGAGAATATTATTGTCCATTTAACCTAGGAATTATCTATGATATTTGATGCAGATCTGAAACACTAATTTTGTTCCTTCCCCAATGAAGCAGAGAAATAATTCTGCACGAAATTATGAGGTTTTTTGGGGGGGGCTGTCTCAGGAAAAATAAGACAGAACACCAGCTTCTGCAGGACTTATGAACAGAGAGGTTTATGGTTTCTTTAGCTCTTCCCACTCCAAGCAGGAGTGGCTAGTTAGCACATGCCAGCATGGATTACTACCTGCGGAATCTTGGGTTATTACAACTTGCTAACCTGGCCACTGAATCATACTGTGTGTGCATGCAACAAAATATTCATGGACAAACTTTTCAATGGTCGAAGAATAATGCAGTATTTCTCTCTTACTTGGATTGGGCTGCAGTAAAACTTCTGTCTGTTTCATAATCTTTTCTGTCCAATGTTTAGTACATTCTGCTTTGCCCAGAAGATTTTCTAAATGTGCATCCAATTCAGTTTTCTCTGCTTGTCCCAGTTTTTCTTCTGTAAACTGTATCAGTTAAACAACAAGAATATACTTTTCAACATACAGTTTAGTAATAAGTTATCAATATCAACACAAATATTTTTAAAAACACAGCAAATATTTTCCAAAAAAGATAAATGTAACATATTTTTCCATGTACAGTATATGGCCCCCCAATGTATAAAATGATCCCCTAGTTTTGTCCTCTGTTGGAGGCAAAGGAGAAGTCAATGGGAAGCCACAAGGGGCACCTCTGCCAACATCTCCTGCTGCCGCCGCCTCTGCCACCCGATCACGTTGCCACCTTGTCCCTGCCCGAAGGAAGCCCACGAGTGGTGCTGGAGGAGGCAATCTGGCAGCAGAGGCAGCAGCAGCAGCAGGAGGAGACGGAGGAAAAGGAGCAGCTGTGCTCATCCACCTCTCGTGGCTGCCCATTGACTGCTGCCGCTGCCGCCTCCTCCTCCTGCCAGGGCTCACCTTCAGCTCACATCACCGCCTTGTTCCCTGCTTGATGGGAGCCAGTGAGTGGTGCTGGAGGAGGCAATTGGGCGGTGGCAGCAGTCAATGGGCAGCTGCGAGAGGCAGACAAGCGCAGCTGCTCCTTTGCCTCTGCCTCCTTCTGTATACAAAACGACCCTCAATGATTTTAGGGAAAAATGTCATTTTTTACACAGAAAAATACAGTATCTATTTTTAAATAACTTTAAAATTACTTAGAAAGTAGAATTCGATCAAGTATTATGTATAATACTTCAAAGGGAAATACGCAACATATTTGAACTACAAAAACATTTTGTCTTATCTTACATAAAGAACAGAGTTTTCTTAAAATTAATAATAATAATCTTAGAACTGCAGAGCTGGAAGAGACCCTATGGATCATTGAGTCAAGCCCCTTCAAAGGGCACAGTGGGGAATCGAACTCCCAAACTCTGGCTCTGCAGCCAAGCACCTAAGCCGCTCAGCTATCTAGCAGTTCAGTTACATTTTAAAAGCTGTAACATCAATTGATCTGACATTATGAACTAGCAACAACTGCACCTTACAAAAATACAGGTGATAAACTACACTTGTGTCTTTCAGTGTTCTGCATGTGTATTTCCTAAGTAGAGAAAATAAATTATTATTATGGCTGCTGGCGCTTCAAGAACTGCCAAATAGTCTCCCTTCCTGAGCTAGTCAGGGCAATCTTAAGTTAACTTTTGAGTCATTCCAGGCTCCTTATTCTGGAGGATGTTAATATTCATACTGAGTTCACCCAGGCATCTTCAAACTAGCATTTGGCCTCACATATATAACCTGTTTCCCTGAAAATAAGCCCTAGTATGATTTTTCAGGATGCTTGTTATATAAGCCTTACCCCCAAAATAAGCCCTAGTTAAGTGAAAGTTTGCCCTCCACCATTGTGCAGCAGCCAGAAGATGACATGACTGTATTTGAATAAACTTAGATGATTGTAAATGAAAAAAAAAATCCCCTGAAAATAAGCCCTAATGCATTTTTGGAGCAAAAATTAATATAAGACCTGGGGAAACATGGTAGCAGGGTACCGTACTGATTTGGCAATATGTTCTAACAGTGCTCAATATTCTGAAGATGGAGGATATATGTAATCCTGCTGTTGTAGTCAGATCATTATACAGTAACTAGATGCTAGTTAGTTCTGATTTCCAGTGTGAAACTTCACAGTGAAAGTAAACTGTCTGGAATGGTCCATCCTGTCTCCTGTGTCAGTAATACTGTGAAATACAGCAAATAAAACATTGACCTGGCAATTGACAACATTGCTAAACTTCAAAGGGACTCAGAGTGCTGAAACCTGGGAACAGCAATGTTTGAAAAAAGAATTGCACAGAATTTCAGTAAACATGAATTAGATAGAACAGGATACTCACACAGATACTAAAGGTAGCAAAATAATCTTATTCTTATGTCACTATCACATGTACACATAATAAGGTAACATTCTTCTATGCCCCATAAAGTCTCCTCTACCATGGTGCTTGTCAGGGGGACTGGTAGCTATGAATTTGCTTCATTGTTTGCAGACACTGTAAAGTTGCTACAATTTCTTTTGGCTTTAATTCTGATAGTGGCAAGTCCCACAGATATAAGTATACTATTTATCATAGACAATGTGGCTCAGGATGTAAGGAGTTGTACTCCCCATGAAAAGTCAGATTCACAGTTTACAAATGCTTTTTTAACCTTTGCTGTCCTTGGAATTCCAGCTGGCAAAATAAAAAACAGCATTTGTCCAGTTGTGTTTAATGTGCTAGCTGTAAAGGGTAGTGATACCCGAGTTTCATCTCATCTTTATTATTCCAATAGGATCTCAGCAGGGTTATCTTTTCAGTGGACCCGGAAGTTTTAACTAGAGCAAACATGGTAGTTCAGCTCCTGACTGATTGATATCATCCTGATAATGAAAGAACTGCACTAGATGCCTATTGTTTGTGGGCTTAATTCAAGCACAGTGGGCATTTTATTCTTTAAGCTGAAGTGGGAAACTCTGGTGCCTCAGATGCTATAGAAGTTGAACTCTCAGCTGACTACATTGACTAGGACTGACATTTAATAGTCCAACGGTATCTGGAAGGCCACAGTTTCCTTCTCTGCTTCAAATCATTGAAAAGAAAACTTTAGAGATTTTCTCCTATGTCTCAAACTCTAGAATGCAAAGACATATTTTTTTTCATTTGCCCTTTTACAGTATTTTCAATTTGTTAACAATCTGTTGCTTATAATACTGCATGTCTTTGTTTTGTTGCATACTACCTTGAGTATCTTTATTTATATACCACCATTTTATAAACAGATAGCTTTCCAGGGAACTATTTGCTATTTGATGTTCCTGCATTCCCCCACAAATGCTCATGGATCTCTGATACAGCTTTGTTGACAACCACAAGTGGCACAGAACACTTTTCACTAGCTGTGACAAACAGAAATACCTCCATCACAGTTATCCCCACTCTGGTAACATCCATAGCCTATGATATCTTTTAAATGAATTAACAATTCACTAACAACAACAAAAAAGTAACAGAAGCAACTGTAACTAAAATACAGACAGTAACTGAAATCTTGTTGCTTAGGGCAATAATTTACATTAGAGTAGGTCTACTGAATCAGCGGAGATTTCGTTAATCTACTCCTTTGTACATTCTACTGATTCAAAATGGTCTACTCTAGCTGTGACTTACTATGCTGAAGTCACAACCTGCATAGGCCCATTTGAATCAATGGAACTTATACCAAATTCTCACTGATTCAATGGGCCTATACTAGGGCAATTTACTACTATGTTAAGCAACAGGAATTCCACCATTAAGTACTAAACAGCAGAAGGAGACATGACTGGTGCTCATTTTAGGTCTTAGGTACCAGGGTAGACCTTACTTTCCCCCCCAAAGTCTCATGTTTTTAATCCTTTTAAGTACTCTTATATTGTTCATTATTGATCATGTTGCAAACTTCCATGATATTTAGAACTCATATACTCTTATTTAACTATTAATAAAAACTATCAGAAACTGAAAAGAACCCACATGGATACTCTCCAAAAGGTTGTGTAATAGATAATGTAAGACTCTGTTCTGCAATTGACTTTTCAGATACAAGAGAGTACATACAGGGAGCTAGTGAACAGGAAGATTTTCAGATTTATGAACATATGCCATTGATAACAATATTACTATTATGAACTTTTTCTCCAACCTACTTATGGGTCTGAGTTGAGAGCCAGTGGCAAAGATTAACTCAGACCACAGAAATATATTTATTTGAACATAAGCCAATTTGAGACAAAATATCATATAAAAGTAAATCAGGCAGAATCACAAGACATGCATCACAGGACCTTTTAATTACAAGATTACTTTGTCCTTTCTAGTTTCAATGAAGAACAGAATATTACAGATGTAGAAATATAGTACATGGGAAATGGAAAAGACAGAGAACTCTGCATTCTCTGAACAACTGCTGCTAATGCAATTCTAGTTATCTGTTTAAATGACATTAAAGGTAAAGGTTCCCCTTGACATTTAGTCCAGTCATCTCGGACTCTAGGGGGCGGTGCTCATACCCATTCCCAAGCCACAGAGCCAGCAAATGACATTACTACCTTTAAAATCTTCCTAACTTCCTAATATTCTTTCTAAAGAAATAAAATTACATGTATAGAATTTGTAACCTACCTTACATTATAGGCCCCACATTCCCTCTAAGCTGCACAGCCATGCAGCACTGTATTGGTGCTGGACACTCGCAGTTAGTGTTGCAACTCATTTGGTTCTGGTCATGGCCAGAACTTTGTAAATGTGGGGTGGAGTTTCCACTCAGTACTGGTGGAAATTTAGAGGGAACATTGTCTGGGCAATGTTCTCTCTAAATGGGACTTTCAGAGCAGATGGCCTACTACTACTACATTTTAAGGGGCTTTTGGAATATTACAAACTGACTGCAATGTTCCACATAGATTGTAATTCAGCATGAAACCTGAGGATTCCTCAAAGTGTTAGTATAAGAATGCAAACAGGATCCACGCTGTCTTTAAAAATAACCAATGGCTGCCTACATCATGGTTCACTGAAGGAGAGATTATGGAAATTGGCCAACAACTATCAGTAAACAACTATCATCCACAACAGTACAGCACCAAGCACCTAAGTCCTCTCACTCAAAAATCCAATTCTCTGGTTTCAGAGAATGGGGGGTTGTTCTTGTTATTATTAAGCATGCTGGAACAGAAACCTTGTCAATCTGTTGCAATTCACCCAGTGATCTACCAGTAGAGCCTGATCTACCATTTACCCACCCCTGATTTGAGAAATAGTTCCACTGAACATGAAGATTCCATTCAAGCTAACATAGCTAATAGGATGAGTTTCCATGGGCAGGACAGGTAGGAGAACATAATGAAAGGTTTGAGACACTTGAAAAATGACAAGAAATTGTTTCTTAAGGTCCTTGGAGGAGAGGCAAAGAGGAAATGCATACAATTCCACCTTGTGGAAGTATTAACCACCATGTAACT